TTTTTTTTGTACTTATTTTATTAACTTTACAAATAGATAATTGGTTGACAATTCTTATCTGTAAACCATTATTTTATGAATATTTGACATAATAAATAACTGATGGAATACCATTTTTATGAAAGAGTTTAAAATTTAAGTTATCAACGAACATATTTTGCATATGTTGAGATTCTACTGTTATTGATTGAATAGATTTTGAAGACTCTAATATTACTCATCTTTATTTAATTGTTTAAGATTTGTTTTTATGGATGAATAATGTATCAGTTTTCAGATAAATCTCACCAATATTTATCAACAAAGAATAAAAGTTTATTTTCAGATAAATATTATGATGACATATCATCGTGGTTGAAATTAGGTAATAAGGAATGATGATTTTGTTTTATTTTATAGAGGTTAAAAATCCTCAGACCAATACTTATAAAAGCATGGAAGATAAACGAAAATTTTCAATTAAATTTGCTAAAATTAACATCTAAATGATGAAGTGCTTTTGAACTTTTGAAATTATTGTATATATGAATAACATTTTAGTATTACAATAAACAGATACTATTAAAACATAGATCAAAGGAGTTGCATATGATTATATGGGTATATAAAATGTCATATTACTCAATTTTTATAGCAAATGATAGCACAAATCAATTTTCTTTGATACAACTTATTATCATTTATGCTTTCCCAAAAATGCTCATTTAGGTAAGTTATGACTCATAACTAAAAGAAGAATGAATTTAATTAAATGTAGATATTTAGCTATAATTTAAATTTAGTGGTGAAATAGATTACAACTACAAGAGATTCTTTTAGCTTATGATTCTTTGTTTGATTGTGAGTCTATAAATACACCTGAAGTAATATTAACATTAGACTCTAAAATAATGCTCTGTTATTAGAGATAACATACCCTACCTAAATGCTCATAGAATTTTGAAACTTTTCTGTATTTTTAATTAAATAATGATTCAAAGTTATATTTGCATTATTTTTTTAATGACTTTTCATATGCCTGAAATGTTATATCTTCCATATGAAATCAATTTTTCTTTAATATAGAGTCTGACTTTTTGAAGTATCTGATTTCTCAAAGATATAATAACTACTATAGAATTGACTTATTTTGAGATATTCAATACACAAGAATTTTCGGAGGATTCATTTATTTGGCTGAGTTTTATATTTATTAAACATTGTAAGGAATAAAGAAAAATTTTTCGGTTGATTGTCATGATAAACATAAATGGGATTATCATTTTTCTGCTTCTATTTCTACTTAGCTTCTCGTTTTTCTTCAAAAGTAGCATCTCTCAGATACTAAACCATCCATGTTGGTTTCAACTTCAGTGAATTCCTTTGATCCATAACTTGGAAATCTGAGACAACATGTAACTCTTATCATAGCAATTGAGACCAAGTGATTCATGTCACCATAGGTTGGTGTGTCAATTTCAATGTTCTGAAACGAATATCATATAAGATTTCGTTATCAATGAACATGGATTCATCTGTATTGTTAATCGATTAATTGATTGAAAGAGTATTCCCTTCAAACTGTAACTTCTTTTTTATCTCAACATTATTTTTATTCTTATATTGTAAATGATGACTCAATTCCAAAATATTACTTTAAATAAATCAAGAAAATCAGAATAAATTAAAGTAGAAGTAGAATTATTATTTATTAAAAACTAAACCAATGAATAATATATTGATATTTAATAATTTTCTTATTATATCAATTTTTCAAATCTTCAGGAATAGCCCCCTTTTATTCGAATAGCTATAATAGTGACTAACCCTAATTATCGTTAATAATTGTATCAACATTTATTTTACAATTCTTAGCTTAAATTAGAGGTTATTTAGAAAAACTCTTATATAGGGTTGCTCCAATTATTTTTATTTCTGACTCTTTACCATTTTCAGCGATTGTATTCTTTTTACCTTCTATCTAATCTTCAAAGTTTTCCCATTGTTGAATTTGATTTTTCATCTTTTGTAAAGAATATTATTATTAGAAAAACTTAAAGAGAGATAATGTGCCATCATCAAAGCCAACTGCAAACCTGTTTCCATCTGGAGATATTGATAGTGAGCTAATACTTTAATTAAATCCATCAAGACAATAAAATTAAATTTAATACTCAACATTCCAAATTCGAATAGATTAATCACTATTGCCTGAAATCAATATTTCTTCTTAACATGAAAATTCTAAGAGAATTACGATAGAATCTTTCTTTCCTTTTATTTTTAAATGCTTACATTCATCTTAAGGATATTTTATTATTTCTATCATGTTACTCTTATCAAAACAATAGGAAAGGTAATAATCTCTTTTTGAAGTTTTCATTTAAATTATTAGTTCATTCTAATTTAAGATTATTTATTTTAATTTTTTATGGATACTGTATTCTATAATATCAATCTTCGTTTGTACTAAAGATTAATTTCCAATACAACATAGTTACTTACTATTAAAAAAACAGAAACACTGACCTTCGTAAAAAGGCATATAATTTATTAGTTAAAAAGCTTATTCTAGAATAATAGGATAATAACATTTTCGATGCCTAGAAAAACTCTCTTCATGATAATTATTCAAAATTAACACAAAATTTGAAATATTACAAATAAATTCAATAGAGTAATACTACAAATTTTCTTCTATAAAAGAATTACTCTCTAATTTTCTATAAATTAATTAATTAGTTGCAATCATATGTAATTGCTCCTAATTTTCTATAGAATAAAGTATTACTTGATCTTATTTATTAATTTAAAAAATATAAGAGCAATCTTCTGTAAAATTATAAGGATCATTACATGTTCTTATAGCATTTTAAGGTTGATTTGATAATTAATTTAGATTCCATATTAGAATAAATGAATTAATTTAAACAGATAAAACCTTATTGTTTGGAGAAAAAGTCATTCTATAAAATAAATCGCTAATTTTTAAAACAGCTAATTCAGTATAATTATTCATATTCCATAAATTCACTACTGCTTACCCTTCATCTCCTGATACAAAAGCCATGAATTATCCGTTTTATGATACACATATCCTAGAGTTAATTTTAACCTATTGAAAGAATGAATCAATTTTAATGGATTGTATAAGAACTTATTTTTCTGTTTATTATATATCCCAAATTTATATGCCTTCTTTATTGCTAAATGTAAGTAAATAGCCCTTCATGACAAAATAAGTGTATTCTACCATAGGAATTAAGAATTAAGCAACCTTTTCTTTTTTTTCAATATTGAATTATTCAATCATTATTTTTGTAGATAGAATCAAGTACTTATCATCAAAAGATATACAAACACTTAAAATCTAGTCATTTTCTTTCTTAATTGACATTAATATTTGATCAATTTATTTTGAAGCGTGAACCTCTACATATTTCCCATAATATTGCCAGAATGCAAAAATTTAGAATGAAGAAGAAAAGATAAATTTATCCTCAAGAAATCTTTCACCTCCATATATCATATGCCATTTTCTATTCTCAATTTCTGGTATCTTTTCATTAAAGAATATAATTGAATTA